GATTTCTCGCTTTCTGTCTCTCTGTCTCTGTCTCTGTCTGGCGAGCGCATGCACCCTATAGCAAAAACCTCTCAAAAAAAAAAAAAAAAGAAACTACTTAGTGAAATGAAACATAAATACAGGTAGCTTTTACATTACCTATTGATTTATCAAGTAATTCCCTTCCTTTCATCCCTATTCTTCTGTTATTCCTAAGCTGTTCCGTAAGTCTTTTCACCCCTATCTAAGACCTGTTGTCTTTAAGCTCATTGAGAGCGCTCTCCCCATAGCATTTTTTCAGAGTTGTCTCCTGAAATCTTAATCCCCCCAGCCTGGCTGCAGAGGTTTCACTGTGCAGCTCACTGAGTTGTCTGTAGAGCAGTTTGTTTTCCTTAGCTAGATGCATTACATACTTCCTCCTTACCGCTTCCTAATGAGAGATTCTTTATTCCAGGGCACAGCTAGCAAAAATGTTATAGAGGGTGGAATTATAACTATCTAAATGTGAGAGATATCACATTAATCCCCTGAGAACAGAGGTAGCATGTTTACTGGACAGTCAAGACATGTACAGCGCTGGCGACCGTTCATCACTGTGGGTGGGAACATTAGAAGGGCCCTGTTTTAGGTGTTAACGGCTGTGCTTCACTCCTGAGCAGTCTCTGACGGGACTGTTTGCGTCCATGGGTCAGAGTTCGGTTGCGCCAGCGTGCGATCTGGAACAAATTATCGGAGTGACATGATTGGACTTCATGAATTATAAATAATAATGAGGATCCTCTATATGTAGAATTAAAATCTCGTGGTCAGTGACATTTTTCTCTGTTACAAACATGGCTCACATCTTTAGTGTTATAGCAATCATAAAAGCATGCTAATTTCAAAACACTGAATGGTTTCTTTTATAGTTGGACCCTGGACGTTTTTTGCACGTGGGGACCCAGGCACCACAAAACATTGCTGTTCGCCTTGATAACCAAGTTCCAGTTGAGAGTCCCAGAACAGTTTCTCGCACCAGTGAGCGTGACCCGGTGAGTTGCTATTTTGTACATGGTGTTTTTCGGGACTTACACTTTGTGCTGCTACCCTCCTTTTACATATCAGGAAAACCAGAACTTAGAGCAGCTAAGCAGGCTCAGCCACAGTGGCACAGGGAGTGGGGTGCTGCTGCCCAGCGTCAGAGTCACAGGAAGAGGCCTCCGGTTCAATCTCTGGGTTCACCGAATACTCCAGGCACACCTGCGATCCTGGCCAACTGGAGGGCTCTGGGGAGCATCACCCATGGCGAGACCCTATCAAGGTTACCCGTGTCTCTCTCTCCCAAAATAAACAAACACATATCTTTTTATGAATAAACACATGAGTAGATGAGCTAAGCTGAGCTAAGTAGACTTAATATAGTCAGATAGACTGCACCTGGGATTGTGCTCTGGAACCTGGTTGTTCCCTGCTCCTATCTAATACTGGATAACACAGTACTCAGGGTAGTCCATGTCTTTTCACTTTCCTAGTGCCAAGAATTGTATGAAGGGCCAGCAGATGGCACAGCAATAACATCACTGGACTCTCACATGACCAACTGTAGTTCAAGTCCTGACCCCAGTAGCTTAAAACTCACACTGGGCATGAGCGCCCAAGATACCAGGAAAAGAACCAGAAGAGAAGGGATTGCAGTGGGGCCATCACAGGAAGTGGCTTCTCGCTTTCTATCTCTGTCTCTCCAGTGAGTGCACACTCCTTATAGCAAAAATCTCTCCCCCAAAAAAGAACTTTGTTGTGTGAAAAGTAGGTGCATGGTCTAAACTTTTTTTTGAGAGATTTTTGCTGTAGGGTGTGTGTACTTGCTAGAAAATCAGAGACGGGGAGAGAAAGCAAGAAATCACGCCTCCACGGGAGATGGCCACACTGCAATCCCTTCTCCTCCTGGGATTTTGGGCCTGCACACGCACCTGATGTGAGTTTCCAGCATCCAGATCAGGGATGCAAACTGCGTTGACCATATGGGAGTCTAGCACCTTAACCACCATGCCACCTGCAGGCCCCTAGTCTGAACTTGTGAAGTTCAGTTCCTTACAAGGTAACTTCAACAATTATTATTTATCTTATTGTATATTAGGTGGCAAACTTTTCCTTAAAAGATCAGGTAGTAGGGAATGGCAGGTGGCATGGTAGTTAAGGGCACTGGACTTTCACATGACCAACCGCGGTTCGAGTCCCAAACCTGGCAGCTTGCTTTTTCACTTCCTCCCTCTCTCATTCTGTCACTCTCTGGTCAAATTTAAATAAATAAAGTTAACTAAAATAATTCTTTAAATAAAAAAGATCAGGTAATGAATGTTCTAGGCTTATGGGTTGTAATGGTCTCTCTCACAGCGCCTCAAGTATGCCTTAAATAAATGCATGGCTGTGTTCCAATAAAACTTACTTATCGAGTGGGTGACTGGTCATATATTACCAACCCCTGCTATGGAGAATCCTAAGGAAACCAGAAGTTACTCACCCAAATTCACAGGACAGTGCAGGTTCAGAATTCAGTTTCCCTATAACCACGCTGGCACTGTTTCCCACCTTTATAAGTGGATTTCCTGGTGTCTAGAGAGGGAACTAACTTGATTTGTTAAGAGAAGAGCAACATTAAAGTGAAGTTAGTCAGCAGAGGCCATTCAGCAGTATCCAGGTCCCATCGGGCTGGATATTGATTTCTTTTTTCCTCTCCTAGCATTGTTGCTGCTCATAAATGAATTACTTGTGTGCTCTGTGCTGTAATGTGAAGGGAACCTGCATCTTTTTTGTCCCGGCCTCTACATTCTGAGTCTGCTCATTGTATTACAGGCTGTGTGAAAGGGAAAAAAATAAACCGTTACCCAGAGACACCATCTCAGCAGGGTGTGTTTTAAATCTGTCTCTAGCGTTCACCTATTTTCACAAGCACAAAATGAAGTCGAATACATGAATGAAGTCACTGAAGTGTCTTCCAGCTTCCTCTGTAATTGCATTCTCTTTATCTGCTAATTCCTCTGGGGTTTCTATGGAAACAGCAGCATGCAGATGATCTTGTCATATGACTGGAGCATCTTTATACACAGTACAGAAGAATCCAGATGGCAAGAATTGTCTCTCCTACCCCCACACACAGGGGTTTGCTTTGCTGAGCAGCTGGCTTCACCATCCAGGCTACCACCTTTATATAAAACACTGGATTTGGACACCACAACTCACATTACTGTCTAAGATAGGAAACTAAAAGGTAGCTTTCCCAGCTCAGAGAGAACATTTCCCCAGTGCGGCCGGGCAGGCCTTACCCACAGGTCAGTATTGTGGTGGCTTTCTAATGTGTCCCCTCTACCTGTCTGTACTCACTTCCAGGCCAAGCATGGAGAGCACCATGAAGGTCAGCACTACAGCATCCCCCTCCAGGATTTGCAGACTGTGTTTCCACATGGCCTACCTCCTCGCTTTGTCATGCAGGTGCTCAAGACACGGAACAGGATGGGGGAGCTCAGAGTACCAGCCGGTGTAGCAAAGGGGTGGGGTCAGATGACCAGAAAATTGTAGAAAATGAAATTTCAATCACAAAAAGGGAAATTTAGATGTTATCTTTTGTGAATATGCAATCACTTTAAGCCAATATTTATATTCTGTTAACCAACTGAAATACTTTTCTGAGCCAGGGAAATAGTCTTAAATAAACAATGTCAACTTTTATTTTCCTTGCATTACCCAACAAGTGGCTTGATTTTAGCATTCAAATGATTATGTTTATTTGTTAATTTTTTTATTTTTTTAATTTGCCCGAGGGTGCATGTACTTAACAGAGAGGGGAAAGAAAGCTTCACTCATGGGGGATGGCTACACCCCAATCTTTTCTCCTCCACCTCTTCATTTGGGATTTTGGGCACACGTACAGGCCCAGCATGTCCCCCACCATGTCAGAGACTTGAGCCTTACAATCGGCTCCATAGGATCCAGTTGCCTTAATCACCATGCCACCGACTGATCCCAGTAATTGGTTGAAATGAATTTAGGAGCCGGCCCCATACCCCAGGGGTAAGGGGATCTGATTCTACATGGCCGACCACAGTTTGAGTCCCAGCTCTGGCGACTACAAAGACACAGCGTGCACACATTTATGCATGCCCAAAGTTCTGACAGAATGGTAAAATGGAGAAGGGATTGCTGTCCTGTCTCTCTCTGGCAAGCACATGCACATTCTGGAAATTAAAATAAATAAAATATTTTTTCAAATAAATAAAATGAATTTAATATTTGCTTTGGCAAAATATCATAATAATAGTTAATATTCTATACAAGAACAAAATCAATACTTTTCTGAGCCAAACAGAATCTTTTTTTTTTTTTTTTTTTTTTGCCAGGGAGTACATGTACTTACCAGAGAGACATAGGTTGAGACATGACCATGGGACATGGTTATGCCACAATCCCCTCTCCGCTGTTTCTCCTTTTTGAGCTTTTAGGCACGCACACACACCTGGTATGTAGAAATGATATTTTGATTATTTGCATTGCTCTCCTTCATTCTCATGGATTTTCAGAAAATGTTTTGTACCATAACTTCAACCCTGAGAGTGTACTCTTAGATTGCTTTATAGCCATTAAAAGAATTCATTATTAACTGCAAGTATGGGTCTGGCTCTGTAAATTAGTTAAGGGAGCTAGATGCTACATTGGTTCGAATCCCAGCCCTAGTGCCTTGAAAAATACACCAGGTATGTACGGCCCAAAATCTTGGCGGGATCAAGCAGTAGAGAAGGAATTGTAGTTGACTGGGCCACGTTGATGGGTGCTTTCTCCCTGTTCCACTCTCCCAGCCGCTGTGCCCGCTGGTGATTACGTTTTTAAAATAACTGCAAGCATGGTTTATTGGCACAACTGGCTTTTCTGACTAGCCCCTGTTAAATTATTGTCAGCACCAGAAATGATTCCTTTTTGGATTTTAGGGGGTTTTTGTTTGTTTGTTTTGCAGAAGGTGATTGTGCTTACCTGAGAAGGAGGGAGGAAACACCCGTCAGTGGGACACGGTCATCCCATAATCCCTTTGCTCCATTTCGCCATCCCGTCAGGATTTGGGACATGCGCACACATGCTTGGCATCTTTTTCATCCTGCCAGTATTGGGATTCAGGCTATGTGGAATCTGGCTCCCTTACCCACTAGGTCACAAGCCCAGCCTGGAAACTATTCCTTCTTAATGAAATATCAAACTTACCTGTACACCTGAGTTTAGTTCAAGAGTCGAAGGATGCCCTTTCATGAGTGTGCTTTATTTTAGGAAAATAGATAAGGGATTGACATGAATAACAAAGTTAATTTTTAATTCTGGATCATAGAAAGACAACCTTGTCATCAAGAATTTTGTTAAAATTGGAAATGAGACACAACCAAAAGAAATTGTACTAAGACACTCAAAGCACAGTCTGTGGGTTGTGTAGGCTTGTTTTAATTAACCGTTTTAAGTTGCTTGGAGTCTGACTTAGCTACCAGGTCTCTGGGGAAATTTGTTATCCATTCTTCCCATAATTTCCATTAACATGAAGGCCACCTCCCTCACCATCATTTGTATGTTTCAGTACCATGGTATGGACTACGTGGATATTCCTGTCTTAATATCTGTATAATGTTTGAAGATTGTCTTCCATTAAGTTTTAACTTATTTGTCAATTCCTACACTAATCCCACTGCTTTGTTAGGATTTCCTTTAAAAATGCCAGGGCTGAGGGCCAGCAGGTGGCATGGTGTTGAAGGTGCTGGATTCCCACATGGCCAACTGCAGTTCGAGTGCTGGACTGGACAGCTTGAAAATCACAACTAATAAATACATAAATAAATAAATGTTAGAAAGGAAGGAGGGAAGGAAGGAAGGAAGGAAGGAAGGAAGGAAGTTGGCTTCATGAACCATAGGTTAAGGCAGTCAGATCCCACATGGCCGACCATGTAGCTCAAGTCCCAGACCCAGTGGCTTGAGAACTATCCTGGGCCCTTGTGAATGCATGCCCAAAATCCTGAAAGGAAGGAGAGATGGGAGACGAGAGACTGCAACATGTCCATTCTCCATCGGTGATGGGGGAGCTTTCGCCTATTGTCTGTCTCTGGTAAACTCATATGCCCTCTAGCAAAAAAAAGAAAAATGCCAACCTTATTTTCAACTTTATCTGATATACTTACAAATTTAGATTTAAGAACTTTTAAAATTTCTTTAATTCCATTCCTTCTTATTATTTTTTAACTTTACCAGAGATAGAGAGAAAGGGAAGGTGAAAAGCAAACCACCAGATCCTGGACTCAAACAATGGTCGGCCATGTTTGAATCCAGCACCTTTAACCACCATGCCACCTGCCAGCCCCTAGATATTTATTCTTACTAGTAGACATAATAGTAAAGTACTTTATTTGCAAATCGCTTTCCATTTTTCTAAAGTTTTTACCAAAGTCCTGTTGTGTGAAAAATGAACAAATAGATAAATGCTGCTGTATTTGTGCTGTTAGTAAAAGCACGGCCTCATAGTTGTGGGGCAGCTAGTTACACCTGTTCCTGAGCGGCCATGTATATAGTTCTAGAGAAAAGTCTAGAGAATTATAGCAGTGAGATTTAACTAGGGGCACAGCCCCATAGCATAGTGGTTAAGTGCTATGCATTGGGAGGTGGGTCCCACATGGCCAACCATGGTTCAAATCCCTGTCTTGGTGGCTTGAAACACATGCATAGTATGTATGCATGTGTCCTCAACATTCTGGCAGTGATGAAGAAGTCAAGAAAATTTATTGCAGTGTGTCCACAACCCATTGGGAGTGCTTTCTCTTTCTCCCTCTGGTAAGCACATGTGGCAATAAAAAAAAAAGAAAGAATTAATGTTAATTGACTGTTTACCCGTGTGACAGATACTTTGTTAAGCATTTTACTGCTTTTAATATTTATATTGCACCTATGTGATATACACAGTTACATTGTGAGATGTTTGGATTATTTATAGATGTCAAGTAACTGATATGCTATCTGTGCTTCATGGACTGGCCCTGTAGCTCAGTGATTAAGCATTGTACATTTGGAACCAAACCCCATATGTCCAACCACAGTTTGAATCCCAACCCTGGTAACTTGAAAGACACACCAAGTCGGGACCAGCAGTTAGTGTAATGGCTGGGTCGCTGGACTCCCATGTCATAGTTGACCGTGGTTCGGGTCCTATACCCGGTTGCTTAAACTCACGCTGGGCACGTGTGCATGCATGCCCAAGATCCCGAGAGGAGAGTGGAGGAGAAGGGATTACAGTGTGGCCATCCCCCCTGGGGGGGTGATTTCTCACTTTCTGTCTGTCTCTGTCTGGCGAGTGCATGCACCCTGTAGCAAAAAACCTCTCTTTAAAAAAATTTTTAAAAATAAATTTTAAAAAGAAAGAAAGACACACCAAGCACATGTGTGCATGTGCCCAAATCCTGACAGGATAGAAAAATACGGGGAAGAGGATTGTGGCCTGGCCACATGCCATTGATGGGTGCCTTCTCTCTCTGTATCTGTTTTTCTCTCTCCCCGTCTGGACAGTGCACATTTCCTCTGGTAGTAAAACAGATTTCTAGGGCCAGCAGGTGCCATAATGTTTAAGGGCGTTGGACTCCCACATGGCCAACCACAGTTAAAGTCCTAGACCTGGTGACTTGCTTTCTCACTTTCACTCTTTCTCTGTCTCACTCTGTCCCTCTCTGGTTAAATTTAAATAAATAATGAAGTTAAATAAAATAATTTTTTTTTAATATCTTGTTCCTCATTAACAAGAATAATCAAAAGCAGACTATTGTGCTACTTGGTATGGAATAATGGATTTTTCAAATTGCCAGTTTGGCTTCTCCAAGCTGAGTAAGGACATGGACTGTGGTGCTCTTGATCTCTGTACCAGGCTGTGTGTGTGGTTAGAAGTTCCACAGTGGGCCTGGCAGCTGGTGTAATGGCTATGTTGCTGGACTCCCACATAGTCGATCAAGGTTTGAGTCTGGACCCGGCAGCTGAAAACTCATACCAGGTGCATGTGTATGTGTGCCCAGAATCCTGAGAGGAAAATGGAGAAGAGTTTGTGGCATGGCTATCCCCTCCTCCCCTGGGGGGTGATTTCTCGCTTTCTGTCTCTGGTGAGCGTATGTTCCCTATAACAAGAATCTCTCAAATAAAAAAAGAAAGAATTCTACACCCTCGTCCCTCGTTCCCTGTCTTATTAGATGAAGACGTTTGGTGAAGCCTGCCTGATGATAAGGAGACCAGCCCTAGAGCTCCTGCAGTACCTGAAACACACCAACTTCGCTCATCCAGCTGTGCGGTATCTTCTCTGTATCCTTTCCTGCGTGCCAGGGCCCTCTTGAGTCAGTCCTTTCTCAGAAGAGAAGAAAGGCAGGAGTGTTGTCCCTTCTGTGATGTTTTCTTTAACAAGTACTTTAGACGGGGAGAAGGGGACAGGAAAAACGCTCAGTCTTTGCCACGCTGTCCATTTCTGTGCCAAACAGAATTGGCTGATACTGCACATTCCGGACGGTGAGAACTCTTCCTGTCTCCTCTTCTTTCGGTCGGGATTGCTTAGCCTGTTGGTGTGGCAGCGCTGCGGCTTTAATTTGCTGATGGCGCTTTTATAGCTAAAGGAAAAGCAGTCGATCCAGATACAGAGCAGTCAGAGCTAGTTCATGATTTCTTCATGCCACCAGTGCCAAGCAGGCTGCAAGGTGAAGTGTTTGTTCATCAGGAAAGTCGCAACACATTTTTTGCATAGAAGAGTACATCATGATTTTCCCGACCACCTAATAAATGTGACAAGAAGAAATTTGGCTAACAGCTTCCTAAAGCCTCTTGAGACTAGTCATTACTTTGACATTTAATGCCCCAAATCATTAACTCCTGCCTTTGAGGTCACTAGAGGTCTTTGTTGTTTTGTTTTACCAGTGGTTAACAATTTCAAATATTGGGGACCAGCAGTTGGCATAATGGCTATGTTGTTGGAGTGCCTGGACCCAGTGGCCTAAACTCACACCAAGCACGTGTGTGTGCGTGCCCAAGATCCCAAAAGGAGAATGGAGGAGAAGGGATTGCGGCGTGGCCATCCCCCTGGGGGGTGACTTCTCGCTTTCTGTCTCTCTGTGTCTTTCTGGCGAGCGCACGCGCCCTATAGCAAAAACCTCTCCCCCCCCCCAAAAATGTTCAAATATTGATAAAGCATTTCACTGTTTATCAACATTCTAGAATTGTCAGCATGGATCTTAAGAACTTAACCTCTTATACTTTGTGTATGTCACTTTTTAAATTACTGTTGTATGTGTCCACGTTTTCTGACTTAGCTTTCTTTTTTTGTTTTTTTATTTTTAGATTTTTGCTATAGGGCAGGTGTACTCTCTAGAAAGACAAATACAGAGGCAGAGGCAATGAGAAATTAGCCCCCGGGGGGATGGGCACACTCTAATCCCTTCTCCATTCTTTTTTCTGGATTTTGGGCGCACACACTGCTCCATGTGTTTTTCAAGCTGTGGAGCAGGCCACATGGGATCTAACACCTTAATCACCACGCCGCCCTCTAGCCCCTGACTTCGCTTTAAAACCCACCAGTAAACAGAAGCTATTTAATCCACTCAGTAGGTTGTCGGAAAAGTTATGACGTATTTTTTCTATGCAAAAATGCATCATGATTTTTCCAACTACCCAATTGTATGCCTTATATATTGATTGTAATAATGGTTAGTCTAAGATAAACCAGACGAAAAAGTAAACCCGAGAAGCATGAAGCCTTTAAGTATAGGAGCTGGGACCGGCAGGTGGCATGTTGGTTAAAGGTGCTGGATTCTCACATGGAACAGTTTGAGTCCTTGGACCTGGCAGCTTGCTTTCTCACTTTCCCTTTCTGTCTGTCTCTGGTCAAATTAAAAATAATACTAATAACAAATGAAATTAAATAAATACTTTTTTTTTTTTTAAGAGAGAGAAAAGTATAGGGACCAGTAGGTGGCATGATGGTTGGGCTGCTGGAATATCACATGGCCAACCTCAGTTCAAGTCCCAGGCCTGGCAGCGAGACACATGCACATCTGTGTACGTGCTCGGAGTCCCTAGAAGAGAAGTAGGAGAAAGGCCTGTGGCATTGCCATACTCCCGGAGGGGGCTAGGGGTCTGCGATTTCTCTCTTTACCTCTTTGTCTCTCCCTAGCAAGCACATGCACCCTATGGCAAAAAAAAAAAAAAAAAAAAAAGGCAAAAAAAGATATATAGCAATTTTTTGCGCAAGCCAACACCCCCAATGGGAAAAAAAAAAAAAAAAAAAAAGGAAGAAAAAGCTATATAGAGACAAAACTAAAGTTATTTTCCATAATTCTGGGTTGAATATCATCAGTTCCTGCCTAATTTATTTCTTTGTGCATCCCCCCACACTTTTTTTTTTTTTAAGCTCATCTTTGGGTGAAAAATTGCCGGGAACTTTTACAGTCCACTTACAACAAACAGCGCTTTGATCAACCTTTGGAAGCTTCAACCTGGCTGAAGAATTTCAGAACTGCAAATGAACGCTTCCTGAATCAGGTGACCAACCGTTTAGAAGTTCAATGCTGGACAGTTTTTATATAGAGTCCATCTTCATGGTGCCCTCATAAACAATGGAGAGCAAATACACTAGTTTGAAATAATTGTTATTTTATGTTTCTTTCATATGTTTTGCTCAAAGGTTGGGTGACAGCCTGAACCTCATCTAACCATGTGAAATAAATAGGCAGCAATAAGGTGTTCCCGTTTGTGGGTAGCAAAGTACAACCTAGATGGAGTCATTGACTTCTCTAAAATACAGCTTCAGATTCCCCCAAGCACGTTTACAACTCTTTTTTTTTTTTTTTTTGAGAGGTTTTAGCTACAGGGTTTGTGCGCTTGCCAGACAGACAGAGAAAGACAGAGAGACAGAAAGCAGGAAATCACCCCCGGGGGGGGATGGTCACGCCGCAATCCCTTCTCCTCCATTCTCCTCTCGGGATCTTGGGCACGCACGCACACGCGCCCGGCGTGAGTTTTAAGCCACCAGGTCCAGGACTTGAACCGCGGTCGACTACGTGGGAGTCCAGCGACATAGCCATTATGCTAACTGCTAGTCCCTACAACTACTTTTTAAAATTATTTATTTAATTTTATTTATTCATTCTCTTATTTTAATTTGGCCAGAGAGGGAGTGGGAAAGTGAGAAAGCAAGCCACCAGGTCTGGGACTCAAACCATGGTTGGCCATGTGGCAGTATCCAGCGCCTTCACCACCACGCCATCTGCTGGTCCCTCCACTACTTTTTTTTCACCAGGCCTTTTTTGGGATCCAGAAATTTATTGATAAAACTCTTTTCTCCAGTGATTCAATTTTGGATGTGAACCAAGGTCACTTAGGAGCTTGTTAGAAATGCATATGCCATGGCCTCATTTTGGGACTTTTTAGTCAAGACCCTTTATTTATGATTTTCCTAAGCTCCTGGTAGAAATGTGTTAGGTCACTTCCATACTGTGGTTTCTTCCAGGATCAGAAACATGGATTAAAACTGACTCCTGTTGGGACCAGCAGTTAGCGTAATGTCTATGTCGCTGGATTCCCACATAGTCGCCCGCGGTTTGAGTCCCAGACCTGGAGACTTGGACTCACACCGGGCGTGTATACATGCATGCCCAAGATCCTGAGGAGAATGGAGAAGGGATTGTGGCGTGGCCATCCCTCCTGGGGGGTGATTTCTCGCTTTCTGTCTCTCTGTCTCTGTCTGGCGAGCGCACGTGCCCTATAGCAAAAACCTCCGAAAAAAGAAAAAAATAAAACTGGCTCCTGTTAACCTTGGTTTTCTTCCCTCTTCAGTAGGGATGGGTTCACCTTTAAGCAGAATAGCCTTTTTATTGTTGTTAGTTTGTTTGCTTGTTTTTAGATAAAAATTCAAGAGAAGTATATCTGGAATAAGAGAGAGAGCACCGAGAAAGGCAGTCCTCTGGGAGAAGTGGTCGAACAGGTATGAGAAAAGACAAGTGTGGAGCCCTTGGAACCAGAGACGGCCTCCCACAGCACTCTGAGCCACTGTCTCTCCTGACAGGGCATAACACGGGTGAGGAACGCCACAGATGCCGTGGGGATTGTGCTGAAAGAACTAAAGAGGCAGAGTTCTTCAGGTGATTTTCACCTCCTGGTGGCAGTGGATGGAGTCAACGCTCTCTGGGGGAGAACCACACTGAAAAGAGAAGATAAAAGCCCGGTAGGAAAACTGGGTTTTTCTATTCTGGTTCCTTTAAATACACAGGCTGGAACACAGCCTTGTAGACTCTGCAGTATATTCTCTCGCTCTAAGGGTATTTGAGTGAAAGTGTACAGTGAGATTAGCATTAGGAGAATGTTCCAGCCATGGTGGTAGAGACAAGAGGAGGCCAATGCATGATACTGGAGCCATAGAGGAGGCCCAGGTTTGGATCCCGGGTTGGCTTGAACATGCCAGGCATGCCCATCAGTGAACCCATGATCCTCACTGGAAGAAATTGCAGTGTGGCCATCTTCTCTGGGGAGCGGTTTCTCACTTTTTCTCTTTTTCTGTCTTGCTGTCTCTCTCCTGGTGAGTGCATGCACCATATAGTAAACTGAAAAGAAAAAGTACCATCAGAAAGAGGAGGTGATACTCAGAGTTCCATTATATGTTGAAAACCTAAGAAGGTGTGTTTTGGAAAGAGCATTTCAGCAGAAGCTGTTTTTTTTCTTAATTTTTTTGTGTCTATTTTCTTTTCAAAATGATGGTATGTATGTGGTCTAAGCTGAGAAGGAAAGGTGGGTAGTTGGGGCGGTGGGTGTTTTCTCTCTGGGTGACTGGTTTTCATCTCCAGGGGCATGGCACGTCTGAAGCCTGCATCTGTGCAGCGTATCCCAGAGAGTGTACCTGTGGGTAGCACGTTTACATAGTAGTTGAAAGTGCTGTCAATCCAGTGGTCTCAGGGAACCATCCAGGGAAACCAACTTACGATCTCTCTTTCTCACTGACCAATATACAGATTGCCCCAGAGGAACTAGCACTTATTCACAATCTAAGGAAAATGATGAAAAATGATTGGGTAAGTACATGTGATGCCTAACACATTTCACAGTGTATTTTCCTTTCTAAACCTATTCTCCTACTTCATTGCTAATGTTTTTTAATCTCTGATTTAAGGACAGAAAATTTCTTTGTTTAATTCCCATAATTGTGTGAAGTTCGAAATAAAGTCTAGATTAAAATCTAGGGAACCAGCAGTTGGCGTAATGGCTATGTCGCTGGATTCCCACGTAGTTGACCGTGGTTCGCGTCCTGGACCCAGTGGCTTAAAACTCACGCCAGGCGCGTGTGCGTGCGTGCCCAAGATCCCGAGAGGAGAATGGAGAAGGGATTGCGGCGTGACTATCCCCTCTGGGGGGTGATTTCTCGCTTTCTGTCTCTGTGTCTCTGTCTGTCTGTCTGGTGAGCGCACACGCCCTGTAGCGAAAACCTCTCCCCCCCCACAAAAAAAAAAATCTATATATTTGGTTTCTAACCTTTCTGCTTGACTGTAGTAAGCTTATTCAAGTCCATTTTATTTAAATATTGCCTGATGTTTTTCTATTTTTCAGCATTTCTATATTCAGTATTTCTTCTTTCTTTCAGCATGGAGGCGCCATTGTGTTGACTTTGAGCCAGACTGGATCTCTCTTTCAGCCCCGGAAAGCCTATATGCCCCAGGAGTTGCTGGGAAAGGTCAAGTCATGAGACCATTTCTTTCCCCTCTGATAGTTATTCTGTCTAAAGAGATACCTCTTTCCTTTCTTTTTTTTTTTTTAACTGCCAGAAGGCGCATGTGCTTTCCCAAGTAGGAAGAGAAGGAGGGGAAAAGCAACCGTTGAGCATGGTCTTTCCACCATCCCTTCTCCATTGCTTTCTCCTGTTAGGATTTTGGACATGCGTGCATATACACATGCCAAGGATAATTCTTTTCTCTCTTTTTTTTTGTGGGGTGGGGGGAGAGGATTTTGCTATAGGGTGCGTGCGCTCACCAGAAAGAGAGAGACAGAGAGATAGAAAGTGAGAAATCACCCCCCGGGGGGACAGCCATGCCATAGTCCTTTCTCCTCCATTCTCCTCTTGGGATCTTGGGCATGCACGCACACACAACCAGCATGAGTTTAAGCCAGTGGGTCTGGGACTTGAACCGCGGTCAACTACATGGGAGTTCAGCGACTGCTGGTCCCCCAAGGATAATTTTCAAGCCAGGATCCAAACTGGTCAGTTCTGTGGGATCCGGCTCTCTTAACCACTACACTGTGAGTTCAGCCCAAGTTATCTTTTTTATTATTCTTATTATTTTTTTATTGGCAAGAGGGCATATACACTCACCAGAGAGAAAGAGGAGAGAAAACCCCCCCAGATGGGGCATGAACACACACATTCACATACATACACACACACCCAGCATGCTCTTTAAGCCACCTGGGGCAATATTCAAACCACACAGTGAGCCATGTGGGATCGGACTCCGTTAAATGTGCTAGGTCACAGAGCTAGCCTAAGATACCTTTTTTAATTTATTTATTTTGACATAGTTTCGCACTTAAAGAAACTATGCTCTTTACCTAGATTCCTAAAATGTTAACTTTGTCATATTTGTATAACCATCTGTCCCCCCACATTTTTTTCAAAATTGCGTGATAGTAACCTACTGATGTACCACCTCTTTACCTCTCAGTAATGTCTCCTTCCAAATGTTATTGTAATGTATAATCTTAGCATAGTTGTCAAGATAATCGTGATACAGATATTGATGAAATACTCTCACCGTGTTGGAACTGACTCTGATACTGCCAGTTATCCCAATACCCTCTATAGGAAAAGAGCACCTAGATAACTCGTTACAGCCTGTCGTGTCTCCCTGCTTTCCTTTAATCTGCAGCAGCTCCTGTTTATGTCTTTCATAACCTTAATTTTGAGGCCAGATTGTGGCTCAGTGGTGACACTCACGATGCTCTGTAAGGCTGACACACACCAGAGGGTCCTGGGTATGACGTCCTGCGACATCCCTGAGTGCCAGGCACGTGTGTGTCTGTGATGGTTCCGCCGTGGGAGGGAGGGTTATGCATCACGACCCTGAGGGGGCGGGGGCACTGTCTCTGTATGTGTCTCTCTCAGGCACTGCTGAAAGAATTTAACTTTTTAAAAAATTTTACATTTTTGCTAAATACATGCCTATTATTTACAAGTTATTTCACAGCGTTTGATGTTTTCTTCTGAGTAGAAGTGATGACGTGTTCTCACTGTATCGAGAAGCACATAAAGTCTGCTTCTACCATTTCTGGTGATATTGTTATTTTATTTTTCTGTTCTCTTTGTTTTGGTTTTAAGGGAAATTTTTACTATAAGGTGCTTGCACTCGCCAGAGAGACAGACAGAAACAGAGACAGAAAGTAAGAAATCACCCCCTTGGGAGGGAATGGCCACGCCGCAATTCCTTTCTTCCATTCTCATCTTAGGATCTTGGGCACGTAAGCACAAACACTCGGTGTGAGATTTTTTGTTTTGTTTTGTTTGTTGTTTTTTTCTTTTAAAGAATTATATTTTTTAAGAATTATTAATTTACTTTTATTCATTCATTTTATTTTAATTTGACCAGAGAGATAGAGAGAGAGAAAGTGAGAAAGCAAGCCACCAGGTCCAGGACTCGAACCATGGTCAGCCATGTGGGAGTGTCCAGCACCTTAACCACCACGCCACCTGCTGGTCCCTATTTTTTATTATTTTTAATTTGCTATGTAACACATGGACTCACCAGAGAGAGAGAGAAAGCGAGAAAGCAAGCCAGCTGATCTGGGACTTGAACCATAGTCAGCCATGTGGGAGTCCAACACCTCAACCACCACGCTACCTGCTGGCTCCCCAGTGTGAGTTAAGTTGCCAAGTTTGGGACTCAAACCACAGTTGACTCCCTGGGAGTCCAGCAACATGACCATGACACCATCTGCTGGTCCCTCTTTGTTTTTTAATATATTTTAGTCATTTACTTTATAATAGAGAATTCTGAACAGGGTCCTGACACTGCGTCCCATCTCTAGCCTTCGGCCAGTCTCAGATCATGGGCAAGTGTGTACCTGGTGTACCCAGGTAGTTGTCCAGACTTGAACCAGCAATCTTCCTACATGGGATTAAGAGATTGCCAAATTTTACCACCGCACCTAGTTAATCTGGCCCCTGGTGATGTTCATTTTGAACATTTAGTTGAGATGATATTTGGTTTCTCCTCAATAAAGTTACTGTTTTCCGTTTGTAATTAGTGAGTATCTTGTGTCAGTATAAAAAAGAGACTTTGTAGATATCCTGTTACTTCTCAAACTTTTACCTACAAGTTGTTTTTAGTTTTGTTTTGTTTGTTTTTAAGAATTATTGAAGCGGGTGCCAGCCGGTGGCATGGTGGTTAAGGATGCTGGACTCCCACAGGGCGGACCAAGGTTCGAGTCCTGGACTTGGTGCTTTGCTTTCTCACTACGCCTCCACTTTGTCCCTCTCTGGTCAAATTTTAAAATTAAAAAATTAAATAAATAAAGTTAAATAAAACACTTCTTTTAAAAAAAAAAAAAAGAATTTTCGGGAACCAGCAGCTAGCGTAATGGCTATGTCGCTGGACTCCCACGTGGTCGACTGCAGTTCGCGTCCCGGACTCGGTGGCTTAAAACTCACACCAGGCGCGTGTGCATGCGTGCCCAAGATCCCAAGAGGAGAATGGAGGAGAAGGGATTGCGGCGTGACCATCCCCTCTGGGGGGTGATTTCTCGCTGTCTCTATGTCTCTCTCTGTCTGTCTGGCGAGTGCACGCGCCCTATAGCGAAAACCTCTCCCAAAAAAAAGAATTTTCAAATGTACCAGCAGATAGTGTAAATGGTATGTCACTGGACTCCCACATGGCCAACAGTGGTTCAATTCCCAGACCTGGCAGCTTGAAACTTACACTGGGTGCATGTATGTACGTGCCTAAAACCCCAAGAGAATGAAGGAGAAGGGATTCCAGCATGACCATCCCCACTGGGGGGTTTATTTCTTACTATGCTTCTCTGTCTCTCTGGAGAATACACACACCTTACAGCAAAAACCTTTCTTTAAAAAAAAAATTTATTTAATTTGGGGGGGTCTGCCGATGGCATAGTGGTTATGTCGCTGGGCTCCCATTTATTTAATTTGGGGGGGGTCTGCCGATGGCATAGTGCTTATGTCGCTGGGCTCCCACATGGTCAACCACAGTTCAAGTCCAAGACCTATAGCTTGAAACTCAGCCTGGGTACATGTGTATGCATGCCCAAGAGCCTGGGAGAGAATGAAGGAGAAAGGACAGCAGCATGGCCATCCCTCCCAAGGGATAATGTCTCACTTTCTCTCTGACCATCTCTGTCTGTCTCTAGGGAGTACACATGCCTAAGGCAAAAATCTTTAAACATTTTATTATTATTAATTTTGTTTATTTATTTTTATTTTTAATTTGTGATAGGGCACTTGCACTCACCCAAGAGTGAGAGAATGAGAAAGTGGGAAAGCAAACTTCCAAGTTCAAGACTTGAACAGTGATTGGCCATGTGGGAGTCCTGTGCCCTTCTTTTAGTTGTTTTTGTTTTTTAAGAATTATGTATTTCATTTTATTTATCATTATTATTATTTTTAAAATTTTACCAGAAAGTGAGAGAGAGAAAGCAAGCCGCCAGTTCCAGGATTCAAACCATAGTTGTCCATTTGGGAGTCCAGCACCTTAACCACACCACCTGCTAGCCATGCCCCTACTTGTTTTAATATCCATTACATTAGTGATTGATTCCTAAATTGCTTACTATTATAAAAATGGCCAAATGAGTATTCTCTAGCTGCATCACACTTCTTTTAATGTATCACTTGACGTCCTGTAATAACGCAGCATCTTTCTCTACCCTGTTACATATTTAGCTGTTTTCATGTGGACTTGGGATTCTTATTTAATGAATTCTAAACCTTTACCATCATCATATTTTGATACACAAATTATCCCAGACTTGGCCAGTAGGAGCTCCTTCCAGTGGTTTGTGTCCTCGTGACATGTCCCTGTCATTCTTTTGGCATTCCTTCACTTTCTAGCACATGGTGTGAGATCCAGATTCATCTTAGACTTCCTGTGTTCCAACTCTGAAATTAGCCATTTTTCCAAGAAGCCCTGGTTTGTTTTAGAGAAAGGTATTTAGAAACCAAGACTTGTGTGCTTGGGGTTCCGTTTCTTAGGCCCTCTTGGCAGGGACAGTACACTGGTTTATGTTGTGGTCACATACACATACTTACGGGACCATATATGTATGAATGTGCTGTGTACATGTGTATGTTTACATACACACAGTCACACATCTGTATCTATTTCTGTATTTAAAAAATCATGAGTTCATACTGAAAATTGCCAGTTCCATGCTTACAACTCCGCATTCATTACATCCTTCCCCCTTTCCATACTTGTATCCCTCATCTGTAGCAATAAGAAATCCTGGCCAGCCTAGAGTGCAGTGGTTAGGACGAGCGCATTGGAAGCTCTTTTTCACGTGGATGGCTTACCACGGTTCAAGTCCCGAACCCCAGTGGTTTGACGAACACACCAGATACATGGGCGTGTATGCCCAAAATCCTGACAAAATTGAGAATTGGAGGGAAAATAATTGCACCGTGACCGTGCCCCTCGGGGAGTGGAATACACGCTCCCTCTAGTCTCTCTAGCAAGTGCAGGTACTCTGACAATGTTTTTTGAATCTGCTCTCATTATTCACAGTGTATTTGTTATTAGCCCATTCCTCGAATATATTACAAGTAACTTCAGCTTTGCTAATCCATGACTCTGAAAAACAAGCTCCTAATTGGAGTGCAATACGTGTTCCAATTTTATCCTTAGCCTAAGGCTCTCTAGACCAAATACTCTGCTCACAAGTTCCTTGGCTTAGTCCTCCTTTCCCCTCTTCACTGTTACTGTGCTGGAGGGCCTGCTAACGGTGGGGTAGGTAAGGCCGCTGCATCCCACAGGGCTGACTGTGTACTTTTAGCCCTGGACACACACAGCAGCTTAAAAACCACATCAGGCTGTGTACCTGCTACCCAAAATCCTAAGAGGAGAACGGAAGAAAGGGGGTTGCAGCATGGCCATACACCCTTGAGGGCTGTTTTCTCACTTCCCACACCCCTTCCTCTGTCTCCAACAAGCACACCTACCCAGTAGCAGACTTTAAAAAAAAAATTTTTTTTCTGGAGAGGTTTTTGCTATAGGGCGCTTGTGCTCACCAGAAAGAGAGAGAGAGAGAGAGAAAGACAGAAAGCGAGAAATCACCCCCTAGGAGGAATGGCTACACTGCAATCCCTTCTCCTCCATTCTCCTCTTGGGATCTCGGGCACACACGCACATGCGCCTGGCATAAGTAAGCCACCAGGTCCAGAACTTGAACCGTGGTTGACTACATGGGAGTCCAGCAACATAGCCATTACACCAACTGCTGGTTCCCCCAATTTTTTTTTTTTTTGGTTTCAAAATTTTTAAAGAATTCAAAAAGTAAGTGCAGGGCCAGCAGGTTGCATGTTGTTTAAGGGCGCTGGACTCCCATATAGCCAATTGTGGTTTAGGTCTCAGACCTGGTGGCTTGCTTTTTCACTCCCCACCTCCCTCTTTCACACTCTGTCCCTCTCTGGTCAGATTAAAATAAATAAAGTTAAATAAAATAATTCTCTTTAAAAAGTAAGTGCAAAAGTAGAATTACAGTACAAGTTTATTTTGGTAAGCATCAAAGTGAAATTGCAGTACAAGTTTAATTTTAAATCTATACATAATTTTTTTCATAATACACTTTTTCCACAGACTTTTCTAAGACCCCACATATTTCAAGGTTTTTATTCTTTTAATTTACTCTAGGGCACATGTGCTCACTGGAGAAAGATTAGGGGGGGGGGGGCATGAGAAAACAGCCCGTGTGACCATGATAATCACACCACAGTCCCTTCTCTTCCTTTTTCCTCTCTGATTTTAGATACACGTGCACACATGCCCTGTGTGTTTTTCAACCTGCCAAGTCTGGAACCTGAACCACACAGCCAGCTATGTGGTATCTAGTCACCTTAATCACCAGGCCACCTGACTGGTCCTTCATCTCATTTTTTAAACTTTTTACTTTGGAAACAAATCCATAAAGCATCCATGTTTGATAGGGTCTTACCACATGCTTGTCCTGCCCCAGCCTCCTACTTCACCAAGCCTATGTCATTGTTCCTAGCCTGTTTAGGTTGAGCCAGGAACCAAAGCTGGTCCTTTCATGGCCTTCACCACTGCCCAGAGGTACCTCCTACTTACCCCACCACAGATAGCCAGAATATTTGAAATCTGAAATACAGCTTGATTCCTTTGTTTCAATTTATGTTCTATTTTAGGTCTTTTTCCCTTTTTTTTCTTTTTTTTTTTTCTTTATTGCAGAAAGAATTAATTTTTCAGGGCTGGCAGGCAGTGTGGTGGTTGAGGCCCAGGACTCCCACATGGCTGACTATGATTCAAGTCCCAGACCTGGTGCCTGGTGGCTTGCTTTCTCTCTTCTCTCTCTCTTTCTCTCTCGGATGAGTATGTGTGCCCTGTAGAAAAATTTTAAAGTAATAATAATAAATAAGTAAAATAAAATAAATTGGATCCGCATACGGGCATAATGGTTATGGTCGCTGAACTCTCATGCAGTCAACCATAGTTTGAGACCTGGACCCAGTGGCTTAAAACTCACATTGGGTGCATGTGCGTGCATGCCCAAAATCCTGAGAGGAGAATGGAAAAGGGATTGCAGCATGACCATTCCCCCGGGGGATGATTTATCACTTTCTGTGTCTCCAGTGAGCACATGTGGCCTATAGCAAAAATGTCTCTCTTAAAAAAAAAAAAAAAATTTTATTTTCCTCGATAAATTAAAAAATCTGAATACTCCATTCAACTATAAACTCAATCTTCTTATTCGAGGAGTTGCAAACAAAGTTTACACAAACTTCAAATTACTTAACTTTATATTTCCAAAGAAACTCTTTAATAAAATAGGCTGAAAGAGCATATCAAAAACCCAGATCTAAATATTAAGATATTAAGGCATAAACTTTATGTAATTCCTGCATCTGCTGTTCTGCTCTGCATGCCAGCTCCACACTACAGAGTAACTCTTTCCAACCTCCAGCTACAGAGTGAAGAAAGACGTTACAAACTAAGTCTGATGTATTTAAACTATGCAGGACATAACAGTTCTGTCTGTATCTTTCACAGTTCTCCTTCAGGAAAGCTAATCCGGGGTTCAGTTCTTCCCCAAACTTTAAAACCTATCACAGCCCACCACTCTTGCCTCAGTGCCTTCTCCCAGGAAAACGTGCAACTAAACATTCCCCCAACTAGCATGGGACCACTGTCCTCACATCCCTGTGCCCTGGGAAACAAAGCCAGCCATTGTCCTCTGTGGCACTGAGCATAACTAGCACTGTATTTGGGTCTTTTTCCTCGTTTTCGTTCATTTTATTTATTTTCTGGGTTTCTGTTTTTGGGTTTTTGATAGTGTGCAAGCACTTACTGGAAACAGACAAACACTGAGAGGAGAAGCACGAAATCAGACCGAGGGCGATGGCCAGCCTTTAGTTTCTTCTCTCCCATTCTTCTGCCAGGAATTTGGCCATGTAAGCACTTGCGCCTGGCGTGATTTTTAAGCTACCAGGTCTGGTACTTGGAACTGCAGTCCGCCACGTGGGAGTCCAATGCTTTAACCACCACACCACCTACTGGCCCTTCATTTTTATGTTTTTACTCTATTGCACGTGCGTTTGCTGAGATAGGTGGAGAGGGTGAGAAAGCATCCCCAGAGGTGTGGCCAGACAGCAATCCCTTTTCCATCTCCTCTTGGGAGTTTGGGCACATGCTCACATGCCTGGCATGTTTTCCAAGCCTCTGAGTCTGGAGACTTTAAACCACTAAATTGGCCATGTGGGGTCCAGCCACCTTAACTACCATGCCACTGGCTGGCCCCTTTTTCTATTTCTTAATGATATGAACATTAACTTGGTTCCAAAAATAAAACAAAAAAAAAAAAATAAAATATGCTCAGACAGGGCCAGTCCCATGGCCTAGCAGTTAAGGAAGCTGAATTCCACGTGGCCAACCCAGCAATTCAAGTCCTGGTCCCTGGGGCTTGAACCCCATCTAGTAAGTATGCATATATGCCCAAAATCATGAAGGGTGGAGGAATGGAGAAGGCATTGCATTGTGACCTTGCCCCATTGGGGGTGCTTTCCCTCTTCATCTTCCTGTCACTCACACACACCTTTGCAAAAAATACGAGTATGTGTGTTGAGTATGGAATATATATTTATATATATACATGTCTTCACACACACACACTCAGATAAATGGCATCCCCTTTTCAAGCATTATTACTATTATTTTTTAACATAATGTGGCCACATTGAACAGTCACCAGCCACCGTGTCTGTGTCCTGTGTAAGGAAGGTGACCAGAGTGGGAGGAGGGTAGAACAGAACAAAAACAAAGGCCTTGCCCACAAAGAGCTTTAGTGGAATCCGTCTGCTGACCTGTCACTTAACTGATAGCACATCTTTATCTTTTTGTTTCTCCAGGAAGGATTTGATGCCCTGGATCCCTTTATTCCCATCCTGGTTTCCAACTATAATCCAAAGGAATTTGAAAGTTGCATTCAGTATTACTTAGAGAACGATTGGCTTCAACATGAGAAAGGTCAGCCGTTTCTTTTTCCTTACAGGGTTTTGTGTTCCCAGTGGAATCCCACTCAGTCGGAGCCTTCATCTTGGCTTCTTTCAGCAGCAGCCTGTAATTTGTATTTCATTTTTTTCCCATTAGCTTGACGTGTTTGTCTAATACAATGGTACAGAACGATGGGTGGGAGGTGGTTAAGGTTTAATTTACAGATGAGATTAGATCTTCATAAATTCCCATCCTAGTCCAGAATCACATGTCCCTGCTGAAGAGGAAGGCAGATCCAGGGCCACCCACAGGGCTGCTCTGGGCATGTGGTCGTGCTGCCCTCTCACTGTTAAGAGACTTCAGTGGGGGACTCGCGTGCTCTGACACCCCAAGGCCTTTTTTTTTTTTTGAGAGGTGTTTGCTATAAGGCGCATGTGCTCGCCAGAGACAGAGAGGGAGAAATCACCCCCCCCCCCCCCGGGGTTTAAAAACAAAACAGAAATCAGTACAAAAGAAAACAATAAAAATCACCCAATTGTGCCATTCTAAGATCACTATTAACGTTTTTTTTTGGGGGGGGGAGAGGTTTTTCCTATAGGGCACATGTGTTTGCCAGAGAGACAGAGAGACAGAAAGTGAGAAATCCCCCCCAGGGGGATAGCCACGCCGCAGTCCCTTCTCCATTCTCCTCTCGGGATCAAGTGTGACATGGTGTCCCAGCATCACACCAGATCTCTGCCACACCTGTCCTCACTATGTACTCTCTTAGTACCATACTCAGCCCACCCCGACCGAAAGCATTGCTGCTGCTCATTTGCCTTTTCCTCTTCTCTGGACGTGAGGGACGCACAGGAAAAGTAAAGGCCGTTCCGTCACTGGGTATTAGAGTTATCGGTCATTGGAATAGTTACAAAAGGAGTACGGGGAAGAATATGAAAATAGCTGCAGTGTGGTGGGCTGGCAGGCACGATGAAGCAGGAACTGGGAGATTCAACAAAGTCCTGAAGAATACGTTCTTGGAATGGAGGGAGAAGTTGGATTGGAGGACAAGAGACAGAAAGGGAAGCATAGAAAAAAATAAGTAGCTTATTGGGATAAAGGATGGAGGAGTGAGATCTCTGGGGAGATGCTAATTATGTGGAATTGTAATATAGACAAGGTAGCCTCAGACTATAGAAGTTTTGGGGCGTGCAGTACAGCAGGAGGAAATGGCCACTCACCTGTGTCTGACCCCATTTCAGCGCACACGGAGGGAGGCAAGAAGGAGCTGCTGTTCCTAAGCAACGCGAACCCTGGGCAGCTGGAGCGGCTCTGTGCCTACCTCTAAGCCACGGTCACTGTGAGGAAGACGGCGCGTTTCCTTCAAGCTGGACCCAGTCAAATGGGGAGCCCCACAGCACTCAGAAAGAGCAGCCGGGCTGAACTCGCAGGATTAGACAGGACTGCAGAGTGACTGAACACATGCTAACAAGATGTCTCCTCGTTCCTGAAACTATCAGATTACTGAATGTGGTTTTCACACTCAAGATAATCATGGATCTTTTTCTTAAAAAAATAAATATCTTCTTTAAGGTGTTGTTTTGGAGTTATAATGTGGAAAGTTTTTTATAATTATTTTATTTAATTTCATTTATTTTTTTCATTTGACCAGAGTGAGACAGGAAAAGTGAAAAAGCAAGCCACCAGGTCTGGGACTCAAACTGCAGTTGGCCATGTGGAAGTCCAGCGCCTTTAACCACCATGCCACCTGCCAGCCCCTCATGATGTATTTTTGCACAGAAAAAATATGTCATGACTTTTCTGACACCCTAATAATACCTGTTAGGTGTCTGAGTCTTCAATTGTATATTCCTAGTAGTTCTAGACTTTTTCAATCAGGAGCTCAAGACGCACAGATTAACTTCTTCCTGCCTCATTTATCATTCACTTCCTATTTATACTTTATCCCTTAAGACTCCCTGGAAACTTGACTAAAACTCCAGCTGAGTTCTTTCAGCTCTGTATGGACAGCTTCTTTCTGTGGATTCCGGAGTGTAATGAGCACCAGATGCCTGCAGCAGATATTGTACATAGTGAGTGACCTTGTCTTTGCTGCGTATGGAGTGGTTCTGTCTATGTATCATACTGAGAGTTGAGAAAATAGTGACTTAAATAATTGACAGTAGAGTTTAATCCTCTCCCTACACTCAGGTCATTGGTTTAAGAGAACTTCCACCCTTGAACTGATCCCCAGACACCCCTGGTGGTAGCTTTGCACTCTGTCAGGTTAGCCTGGTGCTCTAGAATCAGATGTGAAGACGGCAGCTTTCCAGAGACTGCTAAACCAGTTCCCACAGCTGGAAAGGATGAATTCATTTCACAAATCCCTTTTTCTGTCTCTCTCCCTAGTTCTCTGATTGAGTCCTGATTGATACACCTCACAACAAAGATCATTAAACCTTTAGATTTATATACTTTTTTTTTTTTTGGAGAGGTTTTTGCTATAGGGCGGGTGCGCTCGCCAGAAAGACACAGAGAGACAGAAAGCGAGAAATCACCTCCCAGGGGGATGGCCATTCCACAATCCCTTCTTCTGCATTCTCCTCTCAGGATCTTGGGCACGCATGCACACGCGCCCGGCATGAGTTTTAACCCACTTGGTCCAGGACTCAAACTGTGGTCAACTACATGGAGGTTCAGTGACATAGCCATTAACAGTAACTGCTGGTCCCTAGGTTTATATATATATTTTTAAATTTGTTTTAATTTCCAGAGGGCACATGCATAACAGAGGCAGGGGAAGGGAACACCCCACAATAGGCGTGGTCATGCTGCAGTCTCTTCTCCACTTCCCCATGCTGCTGGATTTGGGACACGCACGTACATATACCTGGTGTGTTTTTCAAGCCACCGGGGCTGGGATTCGTCTCAACCACAAGGCCATGGGGCCAGCCCTATCTTTTTGTTTGTTTAGGTTTTTGCATTAGGGTACGTGTTCTCTCCAGAGGGTCAGGGAAGGAGAAATTACCCTCCAGTGAGGGATGGCTGTCCCTGAATCCCTTCGCTTCCATTCGCCTCTCAGATTTTAAGCAGACACGCACATATGCCCAGAGTGATTTTCAAGATGCTGGGTCTGGGACTCAAACCATAGTTAGCCATAATCATCATGCCACCTGCTGGGCCCCCAACCCTATCTTTTTAATAGATCAGATCCCCTTGATCTTCATTACCACTGCCTTCATACCTCCATCGCTTCTGATTTGAGTTCCTGTAATCATTTACTAACTTATTTCTTGCCCTCCACCCACTCTGCCTCCCTTCAGTGCATCTTTCACAGGCTGCCTACACGAGCCTTGTACAATTCTAGTAGTTGCCACTCGCTGGCTCTGCTATGCCTTCATTTTAACTTAGTCATGTACATGTTAGAAATGTCAGACCATACACACACATATCATGGAAACTAAGCAACCTCCCTTTCTCCTGGTTCTTTTCTACAAGCAACCTCTGTTACTAAATTCTGGAGATCAAGTTCTAGGGTAGATCAGTGCAGCAGTAATGTATTTCCAAAGCAAAGCTAGACCCGCATGTAAGATTTCAGGTTCGGTTTCCCGTAAGCCTGTGTCCGCTAGGCACAGCATGTCCCTGTGACCCCGGCTGACTGAGACGACAGTGACTACTGGGAGCATTTGGCTTTTTCTCTCCCCTCTCATGAAAGAAACAAAGAATAAAATTATATTCAAAATGACTTTTTTAAACTCAGAAATGTATATTATGAACAGCTTGATGATAATAGCTCTGAATTTGTAGATGAAATGCACAAGTTTACTAAAAAAATAGAGCTTACCAAAATTGACACACGAATATAAAATTTAAATAGTCCTAAGCTATTATAGAACTTGAATACTTTTTTTTCCATTTGATATAGGACACGTGCTCAACAGAGAGAAACAGAGAAGGAAAGTGAGAATTCATCCCCCAGGAAAGATAGCCATGCCAGAATCCCTTCTCTATTCTCTCAGGATTTAGGGCACACAGGAACATGCTCTGGGCATGTTTTTCTGGCTGCCAGGCCAAGCCGTGCACAGCTGGCCATGTGGGATCCAGCTGCCTCAAGCACCATGGCACTAGCTGGCCCAAAACATGAATTCTTTCTTGTTGTTTTATTTTTAAGAGCAATTTTTGCTATAGGACGTGTGCACTCACCAAAAAGAAAAAAAAGCAAGAAATCGCCCCCTAGGAAGGATGGCCACGCTGAAATCCCTTCTCCTCCATCCTCCTCTCAGGATTTTGGGCATGCATACACATGCACCCAGCATGAGTTTTAAGGTGCCAGGCCCAGAACTTGAACCACAGTTGACTATATGTAAATCCAGCAGCCTAACCATTAAACCATCTGCTGCTCCAGAGAACTTGAATCTTAGTTGAAAACTTCTACAAGGCCTATCTGGTCCAGCAGATTTACATAACATTTAAAGAAAAATGCTAATCTCATAACAATTTTTTTGTGTGTTTGTTCTAGGAGGTACATGTGTATGCCTAAGAGAAAGAGCAAAAGCACTCTCTAAGGTGCCTGAGCATGCCACAGTTGTTTCACCTCTAACTGTCCATCCCATCAGGATGGGAAGTGGGGGGAGGGGTAGATCGTGGCATGGCATATCCCTGTCAAGGATACTTCTAAATAAATAAGGGAAATTATAAGGCGATCGTATATTTTAAAAACCTTTTTCTGGGGAACCAGCAGTTAGTGTAATAACTATGTTGCTGGACTCCCACATAGTCGACCATGGTTCGAGTCCTGGACCCGGTGGCTTAAAATTCATGCCGGGCGCGTGTGCATGCGTGCCCAAGATCCCGAGAGAATGGAGAAGGGATTGTGGCGTGACCATCCCCCCTGGGGGGTGATTTCTCGCTTTCTGTCTCTATGTCTTTCTCTGTCTGTCTGGCCAACGCACGCGCGCCCTATAGCGAAAAAAAAAAAAAACTTTTTGTGAATAAAAATTATATCCTTTTGTTTTACAAATTGATAAATTATATACATATATACTGCTTTTGCGTATATATTCCTTTTATATATCTATACAGGGAAATTATATGGCAGTTCTATATATATTGTGCCAATCATACACACACACACACACACACACACACATATGTATAATATGTATACTTATTTTTTTAAGAGAGAGATTTTTGCTAGAGGGCACGTATGCTTGCCAGAGAGCAGAGACAGAGAGACAGAGAGTAAGAAATCACCCCTAGGGGAATGGCCACACTACAATTCCTTCTCCTTTTTCCTCTGGGGGTTTTGGGCATGCATGCACGTGCACCTAGAGTGAGTTTCAAGCCGCCAGATCCAGGACTCAAATCGCAGTAGGCCACGAGTAAGTCTAACAATGAAACCATTTCACCATCTGCTGGTCTCTGCATATACATTATATATATATATTTTTTTTTTCCAAACAAAATATATGTAAACCAGATCCAATATTTTAAAAGTATACAATATCAATGTCTTAGGATCTGTTCCAGGAATGCAAGATAGAATTATTTACAAAACCAAACTATATAATTTATTCATTAGCAAAACAGGAAGGATGAAATAATTATTTTAATTCATAGAAAGCATTTTTCTTTAATTCCAGATTAATTTATGATCAAATACTTTTTTTTTTTTTCTTTTGGAGAGGTTTTTGCTATAGGGTACGTGTGCTCGCCAGACAGAGACAGAGACAGAAAGCAAGAAATTACCCCCACAGCAGGATGGCCATGCCGCAATCCCTTCTCCTCCATGCTCCTCTCAGGATCTTGGGCACGCACACACACTTGCCCGGCGTGAGTTTTAAGCCACCGGGTCCGGGACGCAAACCACGGTCAACTACATGGGAGTCCAGCGACATAGCCATCACACTAACTGCTGGTCCCAATTTATGATCAAAACTCTTAGCAAACCAGGAATAGAGAACTTCCTTAAGGCTCTCGAATGGTATCTACAGAAAGTCCTCAGCCCATGTCATACTTAGAAATGAAATGGGGACCACTTCCCTTTGTGATGTCTGTTTTCACATCTTATGGTCTACATTGTACTGGAAGTCCTAGTCAGGGCTCTGAGGGAAGAAAAATAGAAGTTATGTATGAGGGAACCAGCAGGTAGCGTGGTGGTTAAGGCGCTGGACATATGGCTGACCATGGTTCAAGTCCTGGACCTGGTGGCTTGCTTTCTCACTTCCTGTGTGTGTGTGTGTGTGTGTGTGTGTGTCTGGTCAAAAATTTTTTTTATTTATTTCAATTTATTTATTTGCATTCATTCACTGTACATCATTACAGCATACAAAATGAGATTTTTCTGGTCAAATTTTTTAAAATGGATGAATAAATAAAATTAAATCTTTATTTTTTGAGATGTTTTTGCTAAAGGGCATGTGCGCTCACCAGAAAGAGAGACACAGAGAGACAGAAAGTGAGAAATCACCCCACAGGGGAGATGGCCATGCCGCAATTCCTTCTCCATTCTCCTCTCAGGAACTTGGGCACACATGAGCACGTGCCCAGCTTGAGTTTAAGCCATCAGATCCAGGACTCGAACTACAGTCGACTACATGGGAGTCC